TGCTTGAAGGTAATGGCTGCATCTGATTGTGCAAACCAGTGGGAATTCTGTATTGAAAATACCTACAGTAATGCAGAATTTACTTTTTAAAAAGAAACTGGGTTTTTTTGACATTCCTCTGAATGCGGTTGACAAATACAGCTTTCCACTGAATTCACAGTCATTCCTAACTACAGGAGTATGTTCCAGATCGGTAATAAGCTGACAGAGAAATGTGAGTTCATAAAGTTGATTAGGACAAGAAATTTTAAGAAACTAGTTTCTTTGCTCCACAGTCAAAAGCAGAAGTTTTAGTCAGCCATAATCAAAGCTTTGAAGGTGTACAGACTGAAGGGCAGTTTGATAAGTTAATAGCTCTTCTTTGATTCTTAATTCCAGCTCACCTTTGTCAAAGCAGCCATGCTCCTAGAATGTCTTTACCTGTATGCATCCTTGTCCAGAGAAACAAAGGGGAGAAAGACACTTTTTTCTGTTTGTCTGTCTTTCCTTCCTTCCTTCCTTCCTTCCTCCCTTCACTTTACAAGCTCATCTTTGCTTTAGCCTGGAATGGGTTTTTTTTGGTATGCATTTATGTGTGTGTTCTGCATTACACCATCTTTACTTGCTATAAACCAGGCTTCAAAGCTCCAGCTCTCCTTTCATGCTCTGTGTTCAGAAACCTCCCATTTCTGCAAGGAAGCCTGCAACCCTGAGTTGGTGCAGCAACCCCCATCACTGATTTTCACCCATTTTAAAAATCTGGTACTGTGCCCTCCTTGTCTCGTTCACTTCATATCCTGTACCCACATCACTCGCTCCTCTTCGTGTATGCTTCTCCAGTGGAGTCAGCAAAACCTGCATTGACTTTTTCCTTCCAGCTGCATTTGGTCTCCTTTTCCCCCAGATTTTTCCTTAACTGCTACATAAAGGTGCAAGTTGGTGAGGGCAAAGGCTGTGTCGTCTTACCATAGACCTTCAGTGTGTTCCTCAGAGCTCAACATCGGTTCATCCCTATGAGGAAGAAATCAAGCAAAGGAGGTGGAAGGGCCTGCTTGGCTGAGCAATGAGCTTCTGGAGACACTCAAAGAGAAGAAGGAAATTTACAGCAGGTGGAAAAAGGGACTGGCCACTTGGGAGGAATATGGGAATGTTGTCAAGAGTATGTGGGGATGCAATGAGGAAGGCTAAAGCCCGTTTGGAATTTAGTCTGACTAGGGATGTCAAAGACGATGAGAAGGGATTCTTCAAATATATCAGTGGCAAAAAGAAGACCAGGGAAAATGTGGGCCCCCTGCGGGAGCCCTGGTGACTGAGGATATGGAGAAGGCAGAGTTACTGAATGCCTTCTTTGCCTCAGTCTTTACTGCTAAGGCTGGCCCTCAGGAATCCCAGACCTTGGAAGCAGGAGAGGAAGTCTGGAGAGAGGAAGACTGCTCCTTGGTAGAGGAGGATTGGGTTGGGGATCTCTCAGCCGGACTGGATGCTCACAAATCCATGGGCCCCAATGATGCTGAGGGAGCTGGCAGATGTTATTGCTA